CAGCCCTCCACGGCACAGAGCCTAGGGGAAATGCGCTTCGTCTTGGTTCCAAAAGAAGTCCTGCCCGCGGAAGGTCCAAAGCGTTTTTGAAGGGCTCACGCTGGACAACTAACCTCTGGGAGAGTCCCTTTTGCACACCTGAAGGCAGCCGCGGCTCGTGGCCTCCGGCGGGTGCTGGACACAAGGGTTGTGATGCACATGGCGGGGGGCCAGGAGCGGGCCTCCGGAACCGAACTCTAGGTGTGGCATCGAGGGAGTCCACCGTCTAGACTAGCGTTCGCCATGGGGCGGTCTCTTTTCATAACGACCCGGAACGGGGAAGCCTAGAGAGAGTCTCAACCCTCAGGACCCGGATCAACAATTCTCTTACCAGATAGAGACCTCCCAGCTAAATGAGCCCTTTCCCCAAAATCAGTTTAACAGCTTTATTTTGCATGAATACACTTCCCTTACTTAGGCAATAGTTTGAAGGTCCTGCAGTTTTGCTCGTATGAACTTCTCAAAGCTCATGTTCACGCTGCCTTCCATCTGAGTCCACCGGTCCCCAGGATCTCTTCTGTCCAGGCAGCCGAGGGAGGGTCCTTAGGAGCACTCAAACCCTTGACCCACCTAGGGCACCCAATTCACGAGTGACTTTCCTTTCTCTTATCATAAAGAGTCGGTGAAGACATTGTTAAGTCGGAGTTAATTTTTCTGAGTGGCCAGTTCTTCCCAAAACCGTGGGTACAGAAGACTCCAGTCCCTGTCTCTCTTCTTTCACTGGCCTTGGTTTGTAAGTCACACAGTTTCGGGCGTGGTGTGTGTGTGAGGGGCTTCTAATGCTCTACCAAATACGTAATACTTATTTATTTAATGCCCACTGGTCTAGGGGTTGGGGACACAGAAATTAAACAAACAAACAAACAAAAAACCTTTCCTATAGCTTTCACTCCAGAGGGGAAGATAAGGGTGCTGAGAGGATGTGGGATTTTAAAAATTTTTTAATTTGTGTGTGTGTGTGTGTGTGTGTGTGTGAGAGAGAGAGAGAGAGAGAGAGAGAGAGAGAGAGAGAGATTTATCATTCCACTTATTTATGCATTCATTGGTTGATTTTTGTATCTGCCTTGAGGAGGGACTGAAGTTGCAAATACTCCACCCATCTGAGCTACCTGGCCAGGTTGAGGATGTATGTGGTTTCAATAGAGGCATAAGGCACAGTCCCAGCCACTTGGTTGAAATCTCTCTTTGCCACCTAAGAGGTTTCTTTGTCTTGGGGAGTTTAAGTCACACTGCCTTCCTTTCCCGAGGCTTTCCACAGTATACCTGATGCACTAAATCACAGGTGACAGCACCCTCCTCCTCTTTCCCTTTGCAAGCCCCTTTTTCATCTGGGCGGCCCTGGGGAGAAGGATCCTTCACACTACTCTAACTAGTGTTGGTCATGGTTCAACTCCTGGAGTTAACAATTCACTATTTTTAGTGTCCTCTGAGGAGTCCAGGCCTCATAGATCTTCAGTGACACCAGGCCAGCTCCAAAACAAAAAGCAGGTCACGTTCCTCAGTGGGAAAGGGTTTTTTCTTTCTCTACCAGGGCCTGCTTGGCTCTTCTACCTGCCTGGGGTCTCACTCCGCTTCTGTTTTCCGGGGATGTAGGTGGTGCCAGGAGAAGAATCAGAGGCTCCTTGGTGGCCTCCAGGGCTGGCCAGGTTTCTCCAGGCATTGACTAATTTTGCTGGGAGGTCTCTCAATCACTCTCTCTATTTCTCAACAGAGAGCCTTCCCTCCTCAGTAGGAAGGAAAGTTGCCCACTTCACAGCCAGGAAAGGGACCTTCAGGATCTGGAAGGTTTTCCCAGGCCTCCCTTCCACCTACCTCCTGCGTTCGTGCCAGCTCACAAGGATCCTGATTTAATCGGTTCGTGATAAAGAAGAGAATTAAGATCAGCAAAGAAAAATTGGAATTAAAACAAAGGCAAAGAGCCCACCACGAGCTGTTTGATTATTTTCTCTGACTTTGCTATTTGATATGAACCTGCCTTGTCAGAAATAAAAATAAATAAGAACACAAAACGTCGACTGGTTCTACAGCACTGAATGTGTGCATGGTTGATACAGAGAGAAAAGAAAATAAATCTTGGTTACTTAATGAAAGGAAGAAGCAATTTGTGTAAACAGAGCTTTAGAAAAAGAAACCCAGAACGCACAGGAAAGGGTTGCGGCCACCATGGGTACCTTGGAAGACGGAGCGGGGACGGACGGGGACGCAGTGAATCGTCGCGGACGCCGCGGGCTCCGAGCAGCCCTAACACCCTGGACGCAGCCGCACATCACAAAGCCGAGAGCAGGCCTGATTTTATTTCATCATCAAAGGAATGGCTAAGTCAGCAAGACATCCATGTCTGCATCCTGGATAGCGCTACGAACTTGAGAAAGGTGCGCGTCGGGCTGGCTTCAACGGAACCAGGAAAGAGGCGACCAGTAGACTGTGCGGGAGAGAAAGCTCTTACCTGCAAGAAGGTACCTTCCTTGTGTCGTGACTGTGCTACACGCACTAGACGTAGTGAGCGCGCAAACACAGGCACAGCTGTGAGACCTGCGCACCTGGAGGTGCCCGCGGGGTCCCTTCCCAGAGAGGTGGTGCCTTCTGAAGGGTGTTGGCATCCACTGGGCTATTCTTCCGCCTTCAGTAGCATCCTGGATAACTTTCTGTTGAGTCTAGGAGTGTTCAGGAATCACAGCCTGCAGAAAAGAGAAAATGCATGTGAAAGTACTTTTTCAACCATAAAGGATTAGGATACTACTATGTGTATCTGAAAATTTCATAGGCAAAAGTGGGGACAACTGGTAAAAATATTCTTGGAAAAGTTCTGTTTTCATTTCATTAAACTTCTCTGCCACCACTCCCCACCCTTCCCCCCTTTAGCTCCCACTCTCATCTGAAGTTGACATTTACTGAAACTTCACACAGTATTTCTAAAATCCAGTCTTGTTGCCTTCTTCCTTTGTAAAGTTAAGCTGCCTGCAAACTGGGCTTTGAAATTAACCAGGGATCACTCTCGGTTCGGAAGCACAGAACCACTGTGTGTTCAGAAGTATGCTTAAAGGAAAAATTCCTCCAGTGCAGGCCTGGAGATGTGGAATAATAATTTACACATAGTGAGTCATAGCTATAACTCAATTTTACTTATCACTTTAATGTAATGTAAAAACTAGACCCAGTAGGCCCTTTCCTCATTTATTTTACAAATTGTAGGAGTTAAGTACTCTGCCCATACCTTGCTGCAGGGAAGTATAATTAGAGAATTTATGGTATTGCATTTTACCTTTGTACCCTAGATGAATAACTTCCTATGAAAAAAAAATAGGAACACTAGACATCAATGTGTATAGCAAATTTTGTGCATACATTTGAGAATGTTCTTGCATGCGTTTGGGGAACAGTGGATAACATGTTTCATGAAAGAGACAGAAGACCGGATGAATATATATTAGGCATTATTTTTGGCATTGGTGGCAACAGAATCCCTTTAGAGTAAAATTCAATAAAAACAAAAATATTTACAGTGGACATGGTCAGAAGAATAAAGTAGTCATATCAGAAAAGGAAAATCTCTTTTGCTTTGGAGGTAGGAGCGCTGCTGCTCGAGGAGAGGACCAGATGAGGACGCTCCCCCACCCTCTCCTTGGCATCAGCCCTTCACTCTCATGGCGAAACTTGCAGAGCCTAGGCTTCTCTTATCACTGCCCTCTGCTGCTCAGGCTTCCGTAGCTTTTCTTTTTGTCTCCTTCACTCCCCAGTGACAGAGTAACTTACAGTTCCCTGAAGTGGTGACCTGGAAAACATTTCTCTACCCCCACCTTCCGCCCCCAATAAAACTTACTAGTTTATTTTCTTCCAGGCCCAAGAGTCAATAGATAAACTTATTCATATGGAAGTGCTAATGGATGGCTTAATGTGTTCTCCTGTCCAATCTATTACGGTTCCCCAGAGGTTGATGTCTTCAATGCCATAAAAGAGGTGGCACTGAAAGTGAGAATTCTAGGTGGCTTTGCCACAAGGGCAGGTGTTCGGGGGAAGGTTGCTGATAAAGACCCTTTCAGCTATACTAGTATCTCATCTAACGTGGCCTGAAGTAGCCTGGGCCTTAGTGAGAGAACTCACTTAACCTCACAATTTGTAGGAAACCTGTGTTTCAAATTGAATTTTACTGAGAGGCCCAATACATGAAATGAATTAAGAAAAAAAACCCTGCCCTGGTGGAAAGGAGGGAGATGGGTCTGTAATCGAGAACTAGGCCAGTAGCAGCTCACCACCCTCAACATGTTTATGTCTCCCCTTGGGCTCCTGGGAGAACAATTTGAAAATTGTGATATTGCATGAAGTCAGCGTAGAAGATACAGACATCACTGCAGACATAGGACACAACTGGAAGGAGAGAGAAATTATATAATTAGAAGCATTATTTTGATCATGAATGAGAACAATCAGATATTATGTGATTAGGATTAATAGATCCCATATTCATTGATTCATGAATATGTTTATAAAGAATGATTACTAGAAGGGATTCACTTTTATATCTTCCTGTACCAAGGGTCTAGTAATGTCAGCATCTGTGTTGAGGAATGTACACTAGGTAACCACAATGTGAGGCTTGGGAAGAGAGCCACAGGAATGAAATGTTGTGTGAGTCATGGAGATATTGTTTTCTGTTTTCCTCATTTGCAACAGGTCAGACTGCACTGATAACAGCTGCAGAAACAATTGGGGACCTTATTCATAAAATGAAAGGCAGAATGCCAGATGGCAGCAAACCAAGGGAATTGAAGATGGAGAAGATTACAAAATGCTGGTGAAATAAGGAACAAGTCTCTTGGGGAATAAACACCCCTGTGTTTTTGTTAAAATGTAGAAATCAAATGTTTTTGTGTATAAAATCACAGTCAGTGTAAAATAAAAGCAATAAGTGTTTGTTAACTGCAAAGTTTACCTGTGGAGGAAAATAATTTTCTTAGTAGAAAGTTTGATCGGCTGTTCGGTTGGTCTGTCATTTTTCTTGTCTCTCTTCATAATCCCTATGTAATCCAGAAACAACCAGTAAAAGAAGAGACTCTCTGCTTCTTTAATTACTTCCTGTAAATTTGACAACTGCTACCCCAGTCTCATTGGCTGTTCGACTTATAAATAGGCCACTCTTTCAAAGACAGCATAATTATTTGGGTACACTTACTTCCCTAGCTATATATCATGCCTTTCAAAACTAAGTGCTTCCGACCTACCTTAACAGTGTCTTAACATCTCACTTGAGCAATATATTTAACTGTTAAATGTTACTTAATTTCTTAGCTGGTATGTTCAAACCACTGATGATAATGTATACCCAAAGTTTGAAATATAATCCCAAACAAAATGTATCAAAATTGAGGATTAAAAAAAACCCAGTCTTTGTGATGGATCAGAATTGTTGGAGCCTACTTAATTTCACTCACACCTGAATATTTTGTAGTTTACTGTGAATTTTGCTGTATATTTATGAGGCTGTGTTAGGTGAAATGCCCTTAGGAATAAAAGTAAACTTGTGAAAATATTATTTGTCTGTGTGGTTAGTTGGAAAGAAATACGCCATTAAGAAAAAATAGCATAAACTAGAACTATGTTATAATTCTGGTGATTTAATGAGTTACTAAAATTCATATATCTAAATACTAGCATTTTTCATTGAGTTCCAAGGAAAAATATTCTAATTTTTAAAAGTATGAGTGCTGGTGTAGATAAAAATAATCTAGACTAACTTTTTGAAAATCAAATTTTATTTATTGGTTTAAGATATTCTTATTAACAAAAATTGGGCCTTTACAATGAATAATTAAACTCTGAGTATTGATTTAAATACAAGATTAACCAGGAAGAATATTATAATTCAACGGTCATGCATGGAGTATACATTAAGATTCTGTTTTGCATAGTATCATGTTAAGGAAATATCTGGCATCTTTCCAGTAAACTTGATGCATTAAAAATAACCAATCTGATAGTTAAAGACTCTTAACTAATACATTTTGAGGGATTTAGCTTATCTGCTTTGGCTCTCTATTGATCAAATAAACCATTTGATTACAAACATGCACTTTACTGTGTACTGGGGAATATTTAAGGTTAGTACCTCTAGGTCCTATGTTTAACCACAAATGAATATTACATTGATTCTCATGCTTGGCTTTTAGGTATTATTTTATAACTTTAAATTAGAAAAACATCTTGGGGCTTTATCACTTCAGAGTTTGGTATATATGTTTAAAATAATTATAGGAAACGATAGGGCACTTAGGAAGCAGTAACAAGGTGGGTGGGCTCCATGTCATTTCTAATATGTGCAAGGTGAAGTGGGATGGACGTAATTATGAAACAAACTTTCAGTGCAAACACACATTCGGCAAACTCGGAATGCTGCAGAAATGGGAGATTTCTAAAATGAAACAGAATCACCCATTACAAATCAGTGATTCTGTTAATCTTTGTATCAACATATGCATCAGAACCAAAGGAAACAGGGTAACGTGGGCCTTATCTGGAACACATTACACTGTGGCAGTGGAACAATGCGCATCTGCATAAATGATTAGTGGTGCTTTAATTTCCCTTTAGAGGCTGTGTATGGGGAGGAAGTGTTTAAGAAAAACCCCTACTCCTCACTTTTTAATCCTTCTTAATTGAAGAGGAAGGTAGTAGAGATTCATTCTTACCATTGAGTAGTCTTTTCCAAACTTGAAAGCAAAAATTTCAAAATCAGTCAAGGAACATTTGTGACAGACACTTCTGTAAAGAAGCCAAGACACACAGTCTTTATAAATAGGCAGACAACATTTAAGTACATAAAGTGTTAAATAGACATGAATGAAATAAACAGATACATTTTTGTTTGTTACAAAATGCTAAACATATTTAAAAACCAACAAATTTTATTTGCATCTAATAAAATATCTTTAGAAGGACACACAAGAAGCTGATAACGTTGGTGGCATTCAGGTGGCGACCTAGCTGGTTGAAAGATAGGGTTAGGAGGAAGACACTTTCTGTATATACTTTTGTACCCCTTCGATTTTGAACACTGAGAATGTTCCACAAAGCCATTCCCAATCTAACAGAAGAAAATAAAATCAATGATTAAATACATGATTAGTTTCCAAAATAATTATTCAAATGGGTACCATCATACTTGGAAATTTTTGTTGGGCCTTGAAGAAGAAAGAGTAATCTGGACTGAATATTTAAAAATGAATAACCACCCTTTTCTCTGGGTTGCACTACTGTCTAATGAGCATGTAGTATGACTGCAGTGCTGTTAACGCCTAAATAACACACTCGCATCAGCTAGAGCTCTGCTTTGCCTTGGTGCAATTTTTGGAAAAAAGAAAAAAAGAGATGCATAATATTTGGATATACTGGAAGGAAGGGGCAACTGGCATGAAGCAAAAGTCCTAGGGAAAAAATGTAAGACATTTGTGATGGATCAGTTCGACTTTCAGTAATTTGGGAGGTCTGGTTGGAGAGATTAAGGTACAGATTATCAAGGTCCTTGAATGCCACGATGAGGAGTTAAGATTTAATAATAAAAGCAGTGAGAAGCTTTGGAATCTTTTGAACAGGGGAAATTAGCTTCCTTACAATGTTCAGTGTGTCTTGTGATGGGAGAGATTGGAGTCTAATACAACATTCCAGGCAGGGAGTGTGGGGTGTAGGTGGTGGGGCTGATGTGGAGAGGTTAGAGGAATGAGGCTGAGAAACAGTCCCAGCAACTGGACTGTGAGGCAAGCCGGTTTGCAGGAGGGTCCCCACAAAGACAGTGGCTTTATCAGCATCAGACTCTTAAGAGTCAAAAATAGCGAAGGCTGAGAAAAATGTTATTTCAATGTATTGATTTGTACATAAGTAATAGTTTAACTAGTACAGTAATCATTGAGATAGTAAAACCATATATTTTTATTAGGTTTCTTCATGAGTTTTGAAATGGGAGTTTTCTTGCCAAATACTGGTGGTTTCATCTCTCTCCCTCCCTCTCCTTCCCCCCATCCCACCCTTTTACTCATCTTCTCTGTCCAATGGTTTTGCCTATTCCACCTTGCTTCTGGCATCTCAAAAACTGTCAAGTTTTGAATGAGTGTATATTTTCATGAGAGTGGAGGGTGGAAACCAGATATTCAGGAATTATGGTGGAAGAGGTAAGGAAAAAAAGCAGTAATTAAAATAAAATAATCCAATGTCATTAATATTTTTTGAATGTTTACTATGTGCCAGAAACTGTGTTAGGCCTTGAGCTTGTCGCCTGGAACAAGACAACTTAATCTCTGCTGTTATGGAGTTTATAGCTCTTTTGAGAAGATAGACATGAAAAAAGTAACTAATGATGTGTGAATTATGTGTGCTAGAAGAAGAATGAGTGCTTGGGAAGTTTATAGCAAGGAAAAGAAGGACAGAAATGGAAAAATAGCTGGAGGAATGTGGTAGGGAGACATGAAGTAATTTTTTTCCCCAACTGGATACATGTGTCATTTAAGACATTAAAAGGAGTCCAGGGTGAGGACAAGAACAGATAAAAGATGCTGCGAAGTGCCTGGGGAGACAAGAGGAGGAGGAATTAAGCATAGGTGGAGAGGTTTACCTGTGGAAGGGAGGGGCATTAATTTTGGGAGGCAACAAGAAAGAAGTGGAAGTTACAATGTAGAGAGAATATTCTTTAGAGTTTGGGAGAAGGAAAGCTGACAGTATTTAGGATTTAGGGTAGAGCTGAGGTTTCAGGATTATGGGGTTGGAAAACCATTGGGAGAGTGTGTCGAGACTAATTGGCTTCATTCTGTTTCAAGGTTACAGATTGCACTATTAACCCCATGTCAACTCAAGGCGGTGTGTTGCAAAGGCATGGCCTGGCTCCACAGAGCCTGGGGTGGTGAAACTGTGTGATATAGCAAAACTATCAGCCTATTTGAAAGCCCTCACAAAGCATGCCCTAAGTGGAAACCTTCAAAATCAATAGGATTGCATAAAAGGCATTTTATTGGATACTTCTTTTTCATATTATATGAAGGTAGGATCTGTCATTTACTTGTATGTATGTAAAGCTCTCAAACAGTAAAGTCCTTGAGTGGCTAAAACAAAGCACAATAATTTAAATAGAATTGATTGTGTCAATCAGGAATTTTCAGCTGGGTTGGAAATCTCTAAGTTTTAGAGGGTGATAGAATCATGAGATTACAGAGGCCACAGACCTCCTGATGAAAGAATATAGTTCAGAGTTCACTAAGTGGCTTCTGTATGAGGTATTTCAGAAGAAGATGGAGTCATTTGGAGGCACGATTCAGAAGACTGAGTCCACAGGTTACTATTCTTATTTCCAGTTTCAGATAACAGCTACTGGAAAATGGGAAAAAACCTTTGTGACTGATGTTCCCAGTCATAGACGAGACGGATGTATCTGGAAGGGCCTCACAGTGTCTGCTCTGAGGCGGCTGGGGAAGCAAACGGGCAGAGAGGCCAGGTTGCCCCACTGTATGCTGCCTTCCGGCATGTCCCTCCCAGCTGCGCCCTCCTGACCAGGAGAGCCTCCTTCCCCTTTGTTTTTAGCCAGGGAAGAAAACCTGCCTCTCAACAGGCCTGGGAGGATGGACGGTACAGTCCAAAGCTGTGCAGATGCTAGTCAGGATTTCTATTAGCATATGTAACACATTGAATAGTTTTGGGAGTGTAATCCAGATTTGAGTATCCAGAAAAAGGCTACCTTCTGGCTAGAAACTAGACAGTATAAATCAAGCAGTCCACTGGAAATACAGTGTTGATAGGGCCACTGTAATTCACAGATAGATATTTTAATGAGGAATAAAGACATATTATGTTGTCATACACTCCCTGCAGAAATGTCTCTTTGCCATCTAGCTGTGAATGCATTTCCATTTTATGAAATGGTGCTACCTATCATTTTAGATCATGTCAGAAGTTGCAGCTAAGTATAAAGAGTTATTGCAATTTAAAAATTGGTATAATTCTGTTATTGCCATATTTTACAGGGCATCAGAAGTCAGTCTGTCCTCGTTATTTTTTTTTAAATTAAATCTTTCTATCAGATAACCTAAGCCTTTAAAGCCATATATCCTATTTTAATTAAAAAAAATTCTGGTTGTGATCATTGTATAGAATTAAAATCCCATGTAAAATATGGGAAGAGGGAAGGTAAGAGGAGGTCATATAGTGTTACCTGATAAAAGGAGACAGTAATATTTAAAATGAGGTAAGTGTTGCACCGATTTATGACGTATTTTATCTTCAGGAGAAACCATAGTTTATCGTCGTGTCATTCAGCTTGAATCATCAGCTGTATATCTTAGACTTTTTGAATGTAACTCTTGAGAGGGAATGACTTTCAGGGATGGGAGCTATGAGGCAGATCAAAAGCTTAAAGCAATTTTGCTTTGCTAGTTAAAAAATATTTTATCGGAACATATTTTGTTGTCACGCATGCATAAATATATATAGTTAAAAAGGGGGAGGGTCCCATAGTTGCTGGGTGTTGTTAATAGAAAGGCAAGTAAAAATAAAATATTCTTATAATGTCTATAATCTCAAATTATTTGCTTTTCCTGTTTTTCTTTTTTTTTTTTTAACATCTAATCTTGCACTAGTCATTCTCATCCATAGGCAATTCCTATTCTAGAAAATAGAAATAATTCATGATGCTAGGTTCACAGGCTAAATTTAACGTTGAATTTAAGGAACATAAATCCTTACGAAATAATAGTAAACACTAATTAGAGTGTCTTAGGAAGTTGATTAGAGTTCCACACAGTACATGAGTCAATATACTTAATCCATTGTATTCGTTTTCATTTTTTTAATTATTTTTTGTCACTGCAAATTATAATGTTTATATTCTTTGTTGCTTTCAACTAATAACACTGCAAATAGTTATAAAAAATCTTGCTAACAATCAATAGTTTGGTAATAATGTGTTCATTTTACTTCAGTCAATTTTTTTAACCTTAGTTTCAGATTTTCTCTTGATTTCATTTTTCCCCTCTTACATACTTTCAGAAACAAAGAAGAATATATTTTTCTTTAACCAGTGGAAAAGACTTTTATAATTTTTAACATTTTCTTTTTCAGGAGTTAATATTAAATTAGAATTAAATAATAGAAACAAACTGCTAAAGTCATCAGCGTCAGTAGAAATAGGGTTGAACTAGCAATGCTACCTACAGTCTGGAGACAGGAAGGAATGTAAGTTCTTTAAACAGTTTTGTGGAAATGAGTCCCAAAGGGTTGAAATTATTTGATTCAAAAATATTCAGTAGAAAAGACAGGAGAGAACAAGAGGGGATATTCTACTGTGTGTTCTTTACTTGTAAAATCTATTGCTTTTTGGCTTTTAAGACTACATTAATAAAGGAATCAGAGGTTAGTCGGCTCTTCCGTGTCCCCTTTACCAACCTCTTCCCCGAGAATAAATGCCTAGAATGCGCTCGGGCACATGTCATCTTTGGTGACCTCCAGGGAGCTAAGGATTCGAGGTTTTAGAAAGGGAGAAAGAATAAGGGCTCAGAAATTAAATGTACTGACCTCTTTCTGCAAAAAGCATGGGCATCTTGTAAAATATCGATTTCTCACTGCAGTGTTGTCACCTCTGTAAAATGGAAGAATAAAACAGGATTTCTTGAAAGGCTTTTAAAAATGGTAAAGCAAAAAAGGAAAAAAGAAATAGAAGCAGTCTAGTGTTTTAAGCTGACGTAACAATTTATACATGGAAGTTGGAGACGTCCATAAAATTCTTTGCATTATTTAGAGAACAGCAGCTTGAAGGGTTCTGATGCCTTGTATATCTTACCCTGACTTTATTAGAATGTTTACAAAAGGACTCACTTCATAACTCACATCCTTTCTTCAAGCAGTAACTATAAAGCAGCAAACATATGACAGATGTGTGTCTGTGTGTCCTTTCTGCCTTGTTTATGCTTTGTAGAAAGTTTCTTTTTTTTTTTAAGAAAATCATTAGTGGAGGATCATTTCCCATTAACATGCATTCTTTTGTTTGATTCTTTTTATTAAGCTTGCTGAAAAACTGTATTTTCATTAGGCCCGTCAGAGGAGATATTGACTAAGCTTCTGTATTTAATTTAGGTCACTGTAGTTTAAATTCACATTTACTATAGCTTATGGTAATAAAATACCTTTCAACATTTTCACCATATTTTATACTTTGCTCTTTCAAAGAATCTTTTTTCAAAGTCTCTTTGCCTTTTAAATTTTTTTTTTGGTACTTCGGCAAGGTGAATAAATATTTGATTACATAGAGTTTTTAAAAACCAAAAGATATCTTATAAAAACTTTAAAAAAAAGGGTCCCAGAATTTCTTATATTTAAACAGAGAATTATTATAACATGTATATATCCAACATACATACCAAGTAAAAACAATGCATGAAGGTAGAGTAAGTAGGAAAATAAATACTGAATACTAGACTTCATATGCAAAAAAATACAAGTCTATTTATTTATGATATTTTGTAAATATCTGTTATGTGGCAGATGTTGCATTAAATATTTAAATTTTCCAACCTAAACTACACTATGAGCTATTTTGATTTCTTCTCTTTCAGAAAGAGATTGAATGTACCACATGGATAAAATAGCACTAAATCAGATTCCACTCATCCAATGATTGGTTTAAGTGAAATTAATTAGTTTTATTAATTTACACTATTGATGAAATTAGTAATAATTCAGAGCAAAATAAGTTCATTAAAATAGTTAAAATATTTTTAAAAAACCCTTTTTCACCCCTTCACTTTGTGAGCCTTTGGATCCCTAGTGCAGATAAAGGAATAGAAATTTTAAAATGAGGGGTTTCTACAGTTGGAACATAGCACATGTTCATGTCCTGTAAAAGATTTTCTGTTCATTATAAATTTTAATGTCATAAAAATGTTTCATTATCATATAATTATAATATTGCATCATTATAATTTTTCATCATATATCAATATTTTAATCTAGTTAGAATTATTAATTCTTTTATTGTAAATTTTAAAAATATGATACTGTTTTGACTTTAGACAATTCACCTGGTGTTTTTTGCTGTGCCTAATTTTCTCCTTTCTATGTCTGCATTTTCCATTTTCTAAGAAAGACATTTCTATCATTGTGATTTCATTTATAAGGCTTTTGCTTTTCAGATATATTTTAAGGTTTTCTTTTAGTAAATCCTTCTTGGATATTAAATAAAGTGTCAGTTTATATTCTGCTTTTGAAGCTGCTGGATGGTTTTAAGGGAGTTTTTTCTAAAATTTCCTGACAAGTTTATTAAGTACTTTCCAATTAACTACCCCTCTAGACTTTTGACAATTCTTTAGTACAAGGGAATAACATTTCCTGGATGAGCTCATTCATAACAAACAAACATTTTAAATAGGGAAATTTCTTTATATAAATAATAAAATGGTTATAATGATTTTAATGATCACATTAATGTTTTTCATTACTACTTTATAATCATTTTATGAAGTATTTTTCTTAAAAACTTCAGTTGTAGTTGAAACATAGTTTAGTTATAGCATATGCACTGTTACTGTAATTACTCTGGTAGACTTATTTCTGAGGGTCTTTATAACTGAAGGATACAAATTCCATCAACAAAAGTGATTTCTCATGTTCTCCTGATAGATGCTTTGTGATTAATCAAAAGAAAAATATCACAATAATATTCTGAAACTGAACCAAAATGGTGAATCTTCAATGAGTGTTTTTAAGCCCACCTAATCCTAGGGAATATCCTATAATACTTCTTCAATTTAATAGTTTTAAGATTTGTAGTCATTATGTTCTAAAAATAAACAAAAACAATGAAACACTCCCATCTTTTTATATAGCTACCATCCATATCTATCCATTCATCCATCCACCCATCCATCACCTGCCTTGCTATCTATCAATCAATCATTTGCTACTGTAAAAAAACTATTCAAGTCTTCCAAATGTCCTCAGACCTGACTTTATTTGCATTTCACTTCAGAAGTGCTACATTTGAGAGAAATGTCACTATGTCCCTATAATTCAAAAACTATAAAAAAGTAAAAATACTTCTTTTTTAAATCATACTACATATAAAATATTTGCAATAACAAGGTATGATTTCAATTAAATTATTGTTAGGTTTATAGTTAGGGCCTGATGTCAAAGTAAAACTTCAAATTTAAATGGTATAAAGGGAAAAGTTATGGGAAACTAACCAATTGATTATTATAAGACTTATTGTCTTTTCCCAGAAGCCAAAGCCATCATGTTAACTGTATTATTTTATTACCATATATATTTTCTGATCCTTCAACATAGATGCTTTACAAAGAATGGCATCTTATGAATTAAAATAATTCATTGGTAGAAGATAAAAGGCAGTGTCAACTTTGTCTAATAGTTGAAAACCGTTGTAAAAATGTCTTCTCATTTTGAATTTTGATCATGTGCCTTTTTATTGCTGTAAGAAGACTAAGCCTTTCTGCCTGTTACATCGCTACAGTTCTTCCGTCCGAAGACAGGACTGTGAAAATCTGCAATAGCCTTCAATGTGACTTGATGAATAGCAAGAGAGCTTAGTGGAAATGTTGAACTCCTTCATGATTAAAAAGCAAACCTTTAATGTAGTTTTTGTTTACCATGTCATAAGTGCAGCGTTGGAAGTTACTGCCAAAGAGTCATTGGAACAGGCATCAGTAAGGCAATGTCAGCCAGCCAATGCTTTGAAAATGATTCAGTTCCTCTAGCCTTATGACTAAAATAATATCCAGTGGCTCCAGCCCCAAGCCTGGTTAATGCATCTGTCCAGAACACATAATTACTCGGTCATAACATTCCCCCGGCCACCAGCCAACAAACCAATCAGCATTTCTTCCTAACTCACTAGAATTTTTGCTGTGTCAAACTGTTTGATCTCTAGGTAGTAAAAATGCAAAAAATGGAAGGACACTGCACTGGAAGGTTTTAATTTGGAATAGTTTCTCATGGAAATTAAATTTGAAGAGAAACATGTTTTTGTTGTCATGACTGAAGCTGAAATTTTAATTTGGTATCCCTTTGCATATTGTGTAGTTTATTTTTTTAATTACAAGCTAGCATTTTTAGTAATTTCAATAAGGAAATATTCTAACAACAAAGTAGTGGTGAATAAATCTCCAGTTACTATTAAAAATAATTTTTTTCCCAAACACAAACAAATATTGTGGTGAAATTATTTTGGTTAACATAAATGTTGTATTGCATATATTTATGTATACGTGTGTGTATGCAGAATTCCTCATACCATCTTCAAAGAGCAATTACAAAAGCATGTATGTATTCATATATATGTGCATGTATGTATAGTCAAGGTTTTTATAAAAGTTCATTACATTAGAATGATTGTTAATGAAATCCTTGAAATGATTCTAGATTAATTTACATTATTTCTCATATTTGCACAGACTCATCTAATAATGTTTTAAAATGGATTTCAAAAGTCATTTTTGTGGGATGAAAATTCACTGAGTGTGTGAAATCTGAGCTTAGTTCTGAATAATAAATAGATTTAAGCCACCAGAAGAAGTGAGGAAGAACACTCCAGTTGGAAGGGAAGAAATGTCAGTGTGAACGAAAATGGCATGATCTGGAAACTGTAAGAGAGTGGGTCTTCCTGCTATGCCAAGGACATGTGTGAGAGTAACGTGAGATGGGGTTGTAATGGCTCGGATGAACCAGGTTGTGAAATGGCCTTCTTATGCACAATAGATGCATAGATAGGAGGGCTGATAAGTTGAAGAAATGAGAATACTTTAACTTTATAAATGGATGAAAGTATTTTCTCAATGATTTATCTCCTTGCAACATTTTTTCTGTACCAGGTTTAGAAGGCAACATGGTCATTGGATCATACTCCTGGCTTCATGATTGGTCTATAGAAAGAAGGGCAGAACTACTTTGTTTCCACAAGCAGTTGGCAAATTTACTGTAGCATCGCTTTATTATCTCAGGCACACACTACCTCTGAGGAAACGGAGCCTGGAAGGAAGATAAAAAATAGTATCATATGAAACAAATGTTGCCTTCCAAATAGTTGGTTACAGAGCATTCTGGAGGAAGAGGAAAGAATTATGCATGTACACGATATACAAACACCTGCTTACAAGCACATAATGTTCTCTTCCCAGTTTCTCTCTTGCTCTACCATACCATCATGCACACTTGTGTGTGGACATTCACACTTACAGTTGTGAATATCCTGGTCTTCAAGTCTCATTTCATTTCCCAGTTGCTGTTCATACTGTTGTTTGTGGGTCAAAACCTTGAGGTATTTACCAAGATACTGCAATAAATAACAAACATGAACCATCTCTAAGAAATAACTGCTTCCCTTTTTTAGTGATTGAAAGTTTTTTATTGCCCCAAAGGTGACTTGAGCTTCCACTAGTGTTGACATGGTTGGCCCCTCCAAGTCAGAGTGATTCAGCGAAGAGACTGTGTGGAATGCCAAAGCTGCTGCTATAATTTCAAATCTGTATTTCTGTGTCCAACTACATCCTTACAAGTCAATCCTGTCTGTAAAGAACTCTTGCTTAAAGGATAAGTGTAACTCTTAAAGTGATAAATACATTTAAG